AGTCTTTATAGTGCCTTGAAAAAGAAGGTTAGGCAACAAGCATAATCTACATTTCTTGCAAACTTATTGCAATAAAATTGCAACTTTTTAAGCGCCTTCAAATGAACGTATAGGCAACAAGCAAAAATTGCAATCAACTCACAATCCATTGCAATGAAATTGCAATCCATGCTACTTGGGTTGCTATGCTATAAGATGTTATAGATAATTATGAAGAAGCAACGTTTTTACTACACTGTGATCGCTTTGGCTCTTTTCTACGAAATGCAATTCATTTACTCCAAGCTTCAGATGGCCTATTTTGGCACTTATTTGAGGTATTCCCCGTCTCCGTTCTAGACCAGTGAGAATGTTTTGGATCATACAAGTTTGCGCAAAAAACTATCTTTCAGGCTTTAAAACTTCAGGATTGACACTACCCCATTGCACTGTGGAACCCTTCTCCCCCATGGCGAATGCTACAGCTTGCCCTGCCACTAAACTCACTGCACGTCATTGGTCCTAAAGTAGGTAAAGGAGACAAAAGCCGAATGCAGTAGGTCTCGGCTACCACCTGTAATTAAGAGGTATTTTCATTGGAAAATTAGAGAAGGTACCCAAGATCTTTAGGGGTGAAATTCTAATTCGGCTTTTCAATTGGTCAGCTGAACATGATGCATCAAATTGCACATTGTGGGAATCTTTATGAAGCTTTTACATTGTCTCTGCCATGAATGGCTCACTTTGTCTCTGGTTAATCGGCATTACAATATTGTAAATTTCTCAAAAAAAGAGAATAAAAAGTGCTTATCCTAGTTGCTAAAGTAATCATTCCCATTCTTTCTTCCAGAAAAAGCAAGGAAGGTTCATCAGTGTACAAAAGGTTGTCAGCCCACATAACACTGGACCTTCCTGACTTGCCTGAGTTCTCAGATGCTATTCGTGAAACTGCCAACAAAGTTGAGTCAATAATGACCTCTGCTCGTCAAACTTCCTCCCAGCAGTGATCAAGCTAGACAACTGGCACCTCATTGTCATTTTTCATCCTTTGTGAGCAGTGGTAAATATATATTCAAGCACTCATCACTCATTTTTGTATTTTGGGTGCTTTTTTAAGAGAGGCAAAGAGCAACTATACACCATTTTCTTCTGCATAAGTGATAAAGTCAGTTCTGAGATATTCCTTACCATTCTATCAGCTGAGTTAAAATATGTTTGAAGCAAGATGTATGTGTCTGAAAGCACTTACATGAAATTTAAAGTAACAAAGAACTTCAAATTTTGCTTTTGGAAGAAGAGCACCCAAACCTCAAGTCTAGTCATCTGTAAATGACGCATAAGTTTTATAACCACCGTAATTATTGGCACTTGTTGGTCCATTTAAATCGGTATGCATGATCACAGGCCTTCTAAACATTTTCCTTTTATTACGTTAAAAATTGAGGTTTGGCATCTTTTCCTGAATACATTTTTCACAATAATCAAAGGTGTTTTTGGATACTTTATCCACACCATTTAATTTATTATTGCTGTTATAAAGTTTTCATTTCCTTAAAACTGAAGACCGAAATGCTCATGCAATAATTTGTTTTCAGTCATCTCCGTTACAGAATGTGAAAAGGCATTCGATCTTTTAAATTTTCAGACGCTAAATGAAAAATACAGAAAAGGAGACTTTTTGCAATTTTAAGGGTGGACCAAGAATTTTGCCTTAAATTAGCCTTGTTTAAATTGGTAAGTAAGTCCCACGACGTTAGCTCGAGTGACATTTAGCAGATTATTTTTCTAAAATCAGGAGAAAAAAGAGCATCACTTAAAATTCTTTTTGAATTCAATCCTTGTTTGTTTTTAAATAAAATTTCGATGTTTCCAATTTTAGTCGCATATACCACTGAACGGTGTCTCGGACAAGTAGGCACTGCTGTCAGAACCCCTCCCCTCCTCGCACAACATGGAGAAGTGTACCCTCACCTCTGATGCTGGAGGACAAGACACATCAAAAACTTCAATGTGGGTACGGTTTTTCGCTTTAAAGATGTTGCTGAAACGCCCGAAACCCCTGTATGGCTCCAAACCGCCATCGCCATTGGATAGAACCGATGGAAATAATGCAAAAAAAGTGCATTTTTGTGAATGAGGGCGAATATAGGGTGGTTTAATTAACTAGCAGATATCACTTGAGTGTATTACAGAACTATTCAAAAATTGCTGTAAAAAATTTGGGCCTAAAACGCGTTGCTGCCGAATTGATCCTCTATTTAGCGTTCTAGCCGGTGACTGCCGCTAAGGGCGTCCAGCCGAAGTTCGAGCAATAAATCACACTCTAAAACGAAGGAAAACGTATATCACGAGTGAAATATGTCCCCTACAAGATCCACTCCAAAAATTGACAGAGTTCGCCGTGCATTGCCCGTGAAAATCACCCATCTTCAAAAACAACGAACTCGTCAGGCAACCCCTTAAACCAAGTCTCGCCAAAATAAAAGAAAATGTGGTACGACGTTGAAAGGCCTAGTGACTCTTCATAGATTCTAGTTACACCATCTAGCGGTATGCCCGGATATTTTCCACCGTTGCCAAGCTACAGCAAAATTCCGGGTTTTTTGGGTTCCTCCTCGTATATTAACAAACCAACATTTTTACCACAGCTAGAGTTTCTTATTATTACAGGAAGTTTAAGTCCAGTACTTGATAGTCCAGTACTCCAGTGCTCATGGGATGCTCCGGGTGTGTGAAAATTTGGTTTTGTTGTATATAGCTTTCATATTTTCGCGCCATGTCAAACTGTTGTATGGCCTTCACATTTTCCCGCTTTGTCAAGCCCGCCTACTCACTTCGGTCATCGTCCTTCTAGGCTCTGGGCCTGTCTCGTTTTTCTTGTGCTCTTTTTGAAGAATAAAGTGTCTTTTCATCGTCCAAATCGTCTTCATTTCTTCTCCGCGTCTCGGCGGTTTGTCCGATATAACAGGTTTATTAATACGCAGCAGCTTGTGTCTTTAAATTAAGATGCTGTCTCCTTTTAATTCCTAAAACAAACTGCTTTGCCTACTTACAGGGGATTTACTCAGACGAAGCTGCAAAATTTTGAAAGTTATTAATTTTTTCTCTCTTACACCAGCCTTTCCAAAATTCGCTCTCTTCAGAGTGAGCGCACTTTGTCTCATACATTATCGCTCTTCATAATTTTCAGAACTTTGTACAGTTTTTCGTTGTGTGAGTTAGGCAAAGTGTTCCTTAAGATTAACCTCAAACTGATAGTGCCGTCCACTTGTTTCGCCAATGCTACTGATGAAGATCATTTAAAATCTCCTCATTGTGTTTTCTTGAAAAAAAAGTTTAAAAAAAATTTTAGTTTTTGAAGGGGAAGGATTTTCCCCCATCTATGTAACTTCCCACCGAGGTATTGGCCATTTTAGAGTAAGATACTTCCGTAATTAGCTGCATCACCCTCATGAATGTCAGTTAATTGGACTTAGCCCTTAGCTTTTGTGCATTCTTTTAAACGTTGTTAAACATGTTTGATCAGTATACATGTAGACAAAATTCACAGACGCTGAGTAATTCAAATCATACAGCAACTATCTGTTATCCCTGGTTGTGACAAGAGGCGATCAATTTTTGAAAAGCAGTGGAGAGGTGTCGATATTTTCATCATTCCGGTGGACGAGGTTCCTAAAGAGAATTATTGGTCTGAACAATGGGCAGAACTGAAGATCCGAGTTATCAAGAGGAACAATTACTTTCGCCAGCTGGTAGATAATACTTTGGAGAAACTGAAGCCATACCTGGCATTTCCGTATCTTTAGCAGCCTACGTACATGTCTCCAGGCCCACCAGTGCTTGAAAGGCGGACAATTATCGAGGAGAGAGATGTCCTTAAAACTAGAGGTCAAATCCGTCGCTGCCGATTTCATAAACGTCCAAAATCAAATACCAATACCGACCAATGTCATTCAGACTCGGGTATCTTTGCTCGTTATATACATTTTTGACTTCTAAATTTTGATTATTTTCCCCCATGAAATTGCTCCTATTTTCTTTCATAATAGGTATACATTTATAGCGCCCTTCCCATAATCGTATATTTTCTAAGCACACTTTACGTAATAACAAAGTTATTTTTACGAACGGGTCATTCCATGTCAAGTCAGTCCGAAAATTGACACTTTTTAACCTGAGTAGTTTACTACTAGACGATCCAGTCCCTTTCCCACCCTGCCACCTCTGAGAGGGACAGCAGAGTATTGGAATGTCAAGTAAGGTCACCCAAAGCGTGGATTATGGATTTTCATGTGTCCTTGAAAGCAATTCAGTATGGAGGATCTGATTCAGGACCTCAGTGCTGGCAGCAAAATAGCTCGACAGAGATATGTGAAAATGAAGAGAAACAAAAAAAAAAAAAAAAAAAAAAAAAAGAAATGCAAACCAAGAGTCATGCTTTTCTCGTTCCCCATATTTTCTCATGATTGGATGTGTAGAGACGAAAGCTTTGATTGTTAAAGAAAAAAGAGTACAATAATTAATTAATAATAATGTGTAATAAAATAATAAAGAGAAACTGAAGGAAATCACAGATATGTGGAGAAGTTTAAAACCACGGCTATCTTTTTCGCTGGAACTTCCACTTGTAAACAGGTGGAGCGTCTTTAGCAGCAGGCTGGATTCTTTCTTTTTTGACGCCTTTCTGACTCAAAAGATGCCTTTTGAGCTCTAATTTGCGTTGAACAATTGACAACTGTTTTTCTCGGACCATGTGCCTATTTAAAACTGAGTATTTTTTGTTCCTCACTTTGGCAGCAGCTTTTACAGCCTCTATGTTCATGTCTGGTAAGTTAACAGCATTTAAGTTTAAGAGTCGTGGTCGATTTGTTTTTCGTCCTAAGAGATCTGGGTGTGTGCCGAGATGTTTGACAGGATCAAAATTTTTCCTTTCTTTATCATCATCGATGAAGAATAGGTGGTGGTTAGGAATTCTCTCAGCAGCATCCAACAGGTGCATTTCCCTTTTTAACCTGTTCACTTTCTTGTGCTCAATAGTTCGCTGCATGTTGATATATTTGATGTCCCTAGAAAAAAGAGAAAAAGTTAAAGTAATAATAATGGTGACATTCATGAACATCCTACATATAGCGGTCGCGATGAAAGACACAAAAACCGCTTTTACTTTTGGCAGCTATATCCAATTAGCCACTGACATGGAAAAGGTAGAAGACTCTGAATGTGCCATTAGCGGATGCGATTAATTGTCCATGAAAAAAAAGGAGGGATTGCGATTTGGGCCGAAATTTGGTAATTTTGGTCAATTTGACAGTTGACGATGCAAATCAAACAGAAATAGTCGAATTTGTTTACTCATAACACTCACATTTTATGGCTGAGAAACAGGGGTCTAAACAAGGCTCCGGAGCCCAAAATAACGGACAAATCGCTTTTTTGGCGATTCTATCTCAGATTTTGACCTGAGCCCAAAGGTGACAGGTCATAAGCTTCGAATATGATGTGAGGGATACCTAGACACGTAACATACTGGAAGATGATCAACTGTCGCATTTGGGCCAGAGTTCAAAATCGAACTTCTCTAACTTTTAGGCCCAACATGGCTGAATATCCATGTTCTCCACGGTTCTACCTCTGATTTCGACCTGGACCCAAAGGCGACGGTTGATGACCTCCCGGTATGTTACGTGTCTCATTGTCACTCAAATCATTTTCAAAGCTCACGACCCCTTACCTTTGGGCAAAGGTCAAAATCGGAGGTAGAACCATGGAAAACATGAATTTTCAGCTATTTTGGGCCAGAAAGTAGAAAAAGTTAGATTTTGTACTTAAGCCCAAAGGTGACGGTTGATCACCCTCCAGGATGTTGCGTGTCGAAGCGTCCCTTGATTCATATTCGAAGCTCCTGATCCCTTTGGGCCTAGGGCGAAATCTCTGTTTCGGATCCGGAAAATGTCAATATCTGCAAAACCCGACTTTTTCTGTAAGATATGCGTCCACTGAATACCCAAAAATTACCCGATTCCGTTGAGGAGCCGATTCTGGCCCAAAGCGCAACCCCTCCAAGGTTGATTAAAAGGAGGTTGGTACAATCACCCATTTCGGTGCCATGTTGATTACGTACTAGTGGGACCTCGAGTAGCGCGAAGTTTGAACAGAGACGTCTGGTGCGAGTTGCGCGCAAACGGAATGATGCTTTTAATAACGATTTCTTAAGCACACATTATTTATTGTAACAGAATATGAAAATATACTATAATTGAACATATTTGAAACATTTTTTCGAATGTATTTTACTATTATCATGATGTTTTAAATTGATTCTTTTCTCCAAAGCCCCTAAGTTTTCGGGGGGTCGTGGTCCCCATAATTTAGGGTTAACAGGAGTCGTGTGGCACATCAACAAAAAGGCATTGATCTCTTCGAGATTTTGAAAATCGCATAATTTTGACACCTACAGTTTCCAATTGAAATTTGCGCAAGACAGGCCCTAAAATTCCCCGTTACTCCAAACAATGGGGACTTAAAGAAAAAGAGCATATAGAGCAAAAAGTTCTTGATTTTGGTCATAAACTTTGAATCCAAAGTCAAAACCAGGGATTTACAGCTAAGGTTTGAGGGAGCATCATAAACGGAGCGGCATCGGCGCGCAAGGCGGAGGCCCGGCGCGGACTTTCATGCCGCGTCGAACAGTGCGCCGGGGGAGCGCATTTGCCGTTGAGGCGGCTTAACCTCGTGAAGCCGACACCCGGCATGACTTTTTGATGCTGCATCAATTTTGATGCTGAATCCAGCATCAAAATTAAGGCGGCTTCAATTACCAGAAACGTCGGACGCCAGCGCCCCGGGCCCGGCTGCCGGTCGGCTAATCGCACCGGGCTGTGTTTTCAACGCTTTCTCGGCGTCCACTTCCTATTAGAACTTCTCGGCGAGGCGTGGGCCGCCGCCAAAACAAAAGGGTGTTCCGCGAACTCATCGCCAAGTCCAAGGGTCGCATACCCCGGCGGTCTTCTGGGACAGCCCCGTCGGTAATGAAGCTGGGTGGCGGGACCGAAAATTGATGCTGTCTAGGGCCGCGAGCCGAGGGTCCGGCCTCAGAAGTTGCAGCCCATGTTGGTCCCTGAGCCAGCATCAAACCTCAGCATCAGCGCTTCATGCTGGCTCGGTCGGCCCAGCATTGGGCTTCAATGCCCGAAGCCGGCGCCGGCAGGTTGCGCGCATAAGGCGCGGTGCCGCATGCCCGCACGGCCGCTACCTGGGCATACGGCATTAATGCTGAAGCTACGAGTCGATGCTGTACGGCATAACCTCATGAGGCGCCTCAAATGCCTGGTCAAAACATACCCTACCTATTTGAAATGTTCGAGAAGGGGGGGGTGGGGGGTACCGGGTACCCCCCCCCCTCTTAACAACACCCTAAAATGGGGTTTTGGGAGGCTGAAGATATTTTCATTCAATTCTTTGGCGTCAATTATCCTCTGAGAATGTTCGTCCGAAGCTCCATTCTCGGCCGTTTTTGAGAAAAAGATAGTGGACAGATGCTCGTCAACACCACCAGTAGCATATCAAAACAAGCAGTTTGAACTGCGCGCCAGATCGAGGTCCCACTAGTACGTCATCAATATGGCTGGATGTACCAACCTACTTTTGATTAACCTTGCAACCCCTCCTCAAAAATTTGAACGTTTCCATCATGAATGGCTTCCATTTTCGATATTGCCAGGCTCCATTTTCTCCGGAACATACTTAAATTCAAGATGGCGTTCAACTTGGTCACCGCGAGAGTGGAACTCGCGAAATCAACTGCCACGGTTGACATGTACGTTGCTCCTTGGGTATCTTTCCTCTACAATGTAAAATACACGCTTCAAACATTACCCAACCGCTTAGAAACCACGATATTCAAGGAAGGTGGCGGCCAAAGTTTCCCTTTTTAAGATCAAACGGGCAAGTATACTCCCTTATGATGAGTGAGGTTTCTTCCGATTAGGTAATTAGGATTGTTAAGTCCAAACGTGATGTTTAAAATTCCTTCACGATTCATTTCAGGCCTCAAATTCCAAGATGACGGACAAACTAGAATATACTGTCGGTAAAGGGGTCATACGCGTATGTCCCCCCTTTCCGTTATCTGGCTCATTCAAATCCTTGTATTCTGAGAAGTCCATCCACTAAGTTACAAGGCGATATCTTAATTTAAATGAATGGTATGGAGAGTCAAATGGGTTGGTATACGTATTTGGGTGAGTTTGCCGGTAGACAGGAATATATCCACTGTTATGCCCACATTTTGCGCCAAGTAAAGGAATCGCGCCACGAGTCAACGTGATTCATTAAATACCGGGTGTTCCACAGCACCCGACCTCTATATTTTTCTCGGAAACCGCCGAATATTCATCTTCGGCACGAGAACTCATATGGGTGAATCAATCCCAAAGAATTCAATGAAAATATTTTCAGCCCCCCAAAACCCCATTTTGGCGGGGATTTAAGGGGGTGACCCCTGTTCCTCGCATATTTCAAAGGGGAAGGTTATATGTTTTGACTTCGGATTCAAATTCTATGGGCGTAAATGAGAACCTCTTGTTCTATGCCTTTTTACCCTAAGCCCCCATTATTTGTAGTTACGGGGCAAAGTGGGGCATTAGACTGTAGGCGTCAAAATATCCGATTCTGAAAATCTAAAAGCGTCCTGAGAGAAGAAGTAGATACAGTTTCATTGATATACCACATGACCCCAGTTGATTACAAATTATTAAGGCCACGACCTCCGGAAAAATTTGGGGCTTTGGATGTCCGTAAGTCGAAAATTTTAAATAGCAAGGGTATGTTTCGAGATGTCATGAGATTTGGGATTCTACGAACAAAGTTACCTGGAATTGATGAGGCGTATGGCCTATTTGTTCCAAATTACCGTAGAACCCCACGTCTTTATAAGAATCCGTGTATTTTTGGAGGGAAAAATTTGTGGCAAACAGGCCATACGCCTTATATCTATTCTAAATAACTTTTTGCGTAGAATCTAAATATAAAGTCGAAACATATCCTTACCATTTAAAATTTTCGACTTACGGACACCCAAAGCCCCAAATTTTGCCGGAGGTATTGGCCTCCATAATTTGAAATCAACTGGGGTCATGTGGTACATCAATGAAACTGTATCTACTTCTTCTCCCAGGATGCTTTTAGATTTTCAGAATCGAATATTTTATCGCCTACAGTCTCCAATTGAACGTTGTCCAACAATGCACCACTTTGCCCCGTAACTCCAAATGATAGGTACAAGAATCGTCGACACAAGTCGATCGAAAAATGAAAACACAATTCAATCGACATGGTTTCGATCGACATCGATTCCTTCGAGAGAATTTAAAATCCTTGAAAAAAATACGTCGATGTCGGTTCACTCGACACAGTTCAATCTAGAATAGAAACGCGATTCAATCGACGTAGATTCGATCGACAGTTTTTTCATCAACATTCTCACCATCGAACAATTTTTCACCGACATTGTATATTCGATCGACACTTTTTACATCGACACTTTTTTGCTCGTAAATATCAATTTAAAATCCTTGGAAAAAAACCATTCTTAAGTCAACATCGTTTTGATCGACGTTGGTTCAATCGACACAGTTCAATCGAAAAATAGAATCGCAATTAAATCGACATAGATTCGATCGACACTTTTTTGATCGGCATTCTTTCCATCGAAAAATTTGTCATCGCCATGGTTTTTATCGACGTATTTCCGATCGACACTTTTTCGCTCGAAAACTGCCTATTGAAAAAGATCCACCATTTCGTCACATTTTCAAGCGAAAATTGCATCTTTTAATCTCGCAGGAGGCTTATGCAAGCTAATCGAATTCATCGACGTCTGTTCGATCGACAAACAGCCCTGTGTCCGCTCGTCGAAATGGAAGCTCAAAGTGAATCGATAGATACGATTTGTTCGCGATTGTTGATCATAAAAGAGTAGCACCGCTCTATTTTGAGTTTCAACACTCATCAATCACATCAAGTCCCGACTTCGAGCCACTTATCGTTGAAATCGATTCACTTTTTT